AGACATTAAACCTGGCCATTTCCTTCCATTCCATATAAATTAAATATAAGAAAAGATTTACAGATGAGAATGTTACACATGGATGAAGGTTAATTTTTTATCCTGGGTATTCTAAACATTGTTATAATCAGGGATGCGGAACGCTATGTTATTCATGATTATATTATAATACTTATGTTGGTAAGCGTAAAACCATATTTATCATAATAAACAGAGGCTAAACATTTGACAAATATTTCTACAATCTTTAGTCTATAGGATAGAGCACCTATGCGATTTATCCACAAGGAATTTGTAAATCAATGTTTTACCTGAACTTTAGCCTTTATTCAATACACATCCATAGTGCTGTTGTCCGGGCAAAAATTTCCCTCATAGCACACTGTACGGTGTATGCACATCTTTATTAGCCCAGTTGGAGCAGAATAGTAGGAGGTAAATTCCATTTCATTTCATTACATGTACAATAAGATTAATGTAAGCAGTGGACAGATCCTAACTAATAGTCAAATAAACTTCTTCAACAAAGAACAGTGTCTAATCATTCGGATGGAATGAAAAACTGAAGTCCTATGTATGTACACGTTGATCACAGTAGATGGAAACGCTGCTGTCCGTGCTAGATTTCACTCATAACACACTGCATGGTGTATATGCCCGTCTTCATTAGCCCGGCTGGTGCAGAAATGTTGGAGGTTCATTTGTTTCAATCCATTCTCTTTGATTTGTTTTATTAGATTAGGGAACCACGGTGGTTAACTGAGTAAGACAGTGGCTCTTTAGCCTCGAAGTCACGGGTTTGCTCCCGGTGTTGGCCGAGTCAGCTCTCCGGGATTTTTCCCTGTTGGTGGGGCAGGATGGAGGGCCTAACAAGGACAGTTGTCTAGTTGCTAGAATGGGATGAAAAACTAAGGTCCTATGTACACATAGGCATACATGTAAAAGATCCCTTGGCAGTTGGAATTCGATATAAGAGTAGGCCATATTGCCGCCGTCTATGCAAATTTCCCTCATAGCACTGCACTGTTTGGCATTTATTCGTCTTCATTGGCCTAGTCGGAGCAGAACAGTAGGATGTTAAAACCTATTTCATTTCATTTCATTTATTAGGTTATATATGGTATATGTTACCTGTAAGTATGATTTATAGATTCTATCAAATATATGAGAAATACTCTGTCAGGTGATAGGGGTGACTTTGTGCCTCTAAATTGACATAAGGAATTACAAGGAATTGAGGATAGCTCTTGGACAGGTGCAACTCAAATTTTTCTAAATACTGATACAAGTAGCTATCATTATTATTGTGAGAAATTGAGCACCAAAATTTTTTCTAAAAGATTGATTCGCATAGCTGTCTGCGTACCTATAGTATTCATTTGCTACAATACAGAAACAATCAGATTTTTTAATATAAACAACATTTTATATAAAATGGATGAAATATGATCAGGGAACAGGCCTATATCACCCCTCTCCTCAGGGAAGTAACGCCCACTTAACACAAACTAGGTTGTTTCAGGACTAACACATGGTACAATTTTATTTCAACAAATCAGCAACCCGTAGGGGTGTCTTTAGCAGTGGGAAGAAACATATGAAAATTCTCTGTTAATCTGTTGAAATGAAATGGGATGTAACATCCTACTGTTCTGCTCTGACAGGGCCAATGAAGACAGACCTTCATTCTGTTGAAGAATTCTAATACAATATATGGTATAAGTGATAATTTACTCATATTTATTGTTGTTATAAAGTTGGGGGTCACGGTGGCTAAGTGATGCAGGACGGAGAAGGGCCTTACAAGAACAGCTGTCTAGTCATTCAAATGGGACAAAAAACCAAGGTCCCGTGTACAGATTGGCGTGCACATAAAAGACCCTTTGACAGTTGGAAAACGATATAAGAGTAAGCCATAGTGCTGCGGTCTGGGCAAAATTTCCCTCATAGCACACTGTATGGTGTATGCCTGTCTTCATTAGCCCAGTTTGGAGCAGACAGTAGGACGTTAAACCCATGAAGTTGTTAATTCTACGGGGGTACCTGGAAGGGCTAATTAAGATGTTTTATGAGTACGTTTTATATGGCGCATTGGTTTTAGTATCATTTGAATGGCTAAAAGCTTTTAGCCATTTAGACAATAAATTTTGATAGCTTCTAAATCAATCTGTGAAATTGTTTGCATCATTTCAAATGTTCAAAAAGATTAAAGATGACTGACTTCCATCTGATTGTAAATGTTCAACCAACAGTTAAGGCCAAAACAAAGTTTTGGACCACATTCATTTAAAACGTAAGCCAACATCTTACTCACAGAATCACCGCGGCTCCTTCAGTCCATAGAGATTAAAATGTATAGTCTTAGCAAAAAGCATCAACTATTATGTAAATCGATCAATCCTAGCATATAGTACGACCACCTTAAATTCATGTCACCTTCTAATGATTTCATGACATCATCAATTTTTACCTTTGAATGTCAGTCAGCTCCTGAAGAGTAACTGATTTCTATCCATGAGCAAGATTACATCTAACCTAGGTTTTTGGATTTAATTTACTTGTCTAGACTCTAGATTACGATTACCAAACACATTTCTAATGATTTCACGACATCATCATTTTTGCTCTTAGAATGTCAGTCAGCTACTTCAGAATAACTGCTTTCAATCAATGAACAAGATGATATCAAATGATCTAACTTAGATTTAATTTAATTATCAAGATTACGATCTAAAAAATACCTTTCAGCTCTTATTTGACTATTAGCCGCCTAGTGCATTTAGGCTGATACCCCCAGTTAAACAAATTTGCTGAATTCATATCCTTGTTCATTTTATAAAGAAATTTAAAATTTAAATATTATTTAAAAAATTTGTTTGTGGTAAGATGCAATTTACTTATGTACCCAAAAACCTTTGTGATAAGATCTGAAACATATGACTTCAGGCTACACCCCCTCCAATTAGTTTATTATCTTTGATGTGTATATTATTATAGATTCAGTTGTTGTGATTTATTGTATGATTTCTATAGTCATTATTTAATATTGTTGTATAGATTCTACAAATAGATAGCAGAACTATATAATATACAGTATGTATGGTTGGATTCATCATTGATCATGATTTGATAAAGATACCTGTAAGAGTATTGAAACGTTGCATGTAATAAACCAAGAAGTAGTTAATTCATAAAGTTGTATTATTATGGATGGTTAAAAATAATTCAAATGACTTTGGTTGGTATATACACTGGAGATAATGAGGGGGGGGGGCATTTCGTCGTCCTCTGTATATGACATAAATAAACCCAGCACCACCTGGGTGAAATCCATTTATTAGCCTCTTGTTAATCCAATTAAATCAGCTGTGTGAAGTCCCAACCAAATGGCACGTATATTTTTGTTTTCTTTTTCACTATATCGAACGCCTGTGTTTAAGGAAGCTAGATTAAGAGATCCAAAAGCACTTTCTGCTTTCTATAAGACCAAGTGTTAACAAATTTAAGCCAATGATATTTAAAACTATATAATTACATTGATGTTTCTGTAAAAATAAATTGTGATTATTTAAAGCTCCTGAGTAATGGTTATATATAGAGTTTAATAACATACACAATCAAATCTAATAATATTGAAAAAAACAGAATGTTTTGGTCCCGGGATAATGCAAATTGATTAAATCCAACCTATGTTATGGTCATTTGAAGTTTCCTTTATTGGTTTCTATTGATTTCATATTGGCATGTTGGATGGCTGAATAGTTTAAAATGTGTGCTTTTGTTCATAAGGTCTGTTATTGAGTCAAGTGGCATGGTTTCAATTCCCCACTTGTACGTGACAAGGAAAAGGGTTGTCTGTCCAATCGTATGTGAACAATCAGGCTTGTACCTTTAAACAAAATAAAAATCATACTCTAAATGATTAATCCAGCATGTCAGTAATACAAGCAATCCAAACATAATCTTTATTAAATATCCAATCCTTTAGATCTTTTAGATTCCACCATGTGATTTATGATGCATATATGTTTACTTTTTGATATAGAATATCGGCATTGATCTTTTTATATTGACTAGTAATTATTCATTGTCAGCCTTTTTACATTCTTTCCCAAGCCATAACCGGTTGAATTATTGGTAATAAAAATATGCTACAAGATATATTAATATAATGCCAAATATCGCAAGAAATTTGAAGATCGTTCCTCAGACATGTTTGAAAAATAGATTAATACCGTAATCCAATGTAAAAAAAAAATGATTTTCAAAACTCATAATCAAGAGCTTCAAAACATATTTCTAATACTGAATTATAAACTATGCATGGACATATAACTAATGGAACTATTCTTGGTACAATCAATAATTAGTTAGGATTATAAATGACTTATGAGCACAATCAGTAGAGTTGGGTGAGACAAGATCATCAGTCAGTCGGTTGGTTGAGACAAGTTCATCAGTCGGTTGGTTGAGACAAGTTCATCAGTCAGGGGGTTGGGTGAGACAAGATCATCAGTCAGTAGAGTTGGGTGTGACCAGATCATCAGTCAGTGGGTTGGGTGAGACAGGATCACCAGTTAGTGCAGGGGTTGGATGAGAAAAGATCACCAATTAGTGGATGAGATAAGCCATTTATATTTAGTACACAGACCTAGAACACCAGTACATAGTTTGAGTGAGACAATAGAATCAATATATATACTGTATCATAATTCATGTTTTCATACATGTTTATCCTATATAGTCTATGGTACTTAGTATAAACAAATCAACAAGTTTGGTTTTGTATAAACACATTTTATTTGCATAGAAACATGGACATATTTTTTTTGTAAAGACACATGGACATTTTTGGTTTGTATGCACACATGGACAAGTTTATGGACACTTTTGGGCTTGTATAGACCCATGGACATTTTTGGATTAAAAATTTGAATAAATACTTTGTATTAAGAGCTCAAATTTTGAATAAAGAATAAAGGGATTCTTCTCTATTTCAGCATTTTTGTCACCAAAAGCAAATGCCACCAATAAAAATGGAAATAAAAAAGGTGATGGAACATTGCTCAATGACAGTTTATCATCACCAACAAGAGATGGCCATGTTAATCCTGCTTTTAATGATACTTCAGCAGATTTATCTACCATGGAAGAAGGTAAGAAACCATTTGTATTTATTGTAGGCTATCAGTTTATTTCATATCAGTATTTTATCTGAAATATCCTAAACCTGCCTAAAACAAAATAAAACTGGTCATCAATTGACCATTATGTTGCATTTTAAGTAGGAGACCACACCAGATGTCATTAAAGTCAAGGAGTTCCACCAGAATGATGACTTTATTATATATAGAGAGACAGAGAGAGAGAAATGGGGTTTAACGTCCACTCGACACAAACAAGGTCATTTCGGGACTAACACATGGTTTAATTTTATTTCAATAATTCGCTTGTGCGTAGGGGTCTTTAGCAGTGTGAGGAAACCAGAGGACCCGGAGAAAACCCACGAGGTTGGACAGGCGACCCTACTCCTTGCCACGTACAACCGGGGATTCGAAACCCAGGAGTTGACTCAATGACAGACTTTATGGTACAGCGCGCACGTGCTAACCATTCAGCCCCCCCCCCCTGTATTATATAAGTTCTGTTACAAGTGGTAAGGGGGGAATGGTTGAATGGTCTAAGGTGTGTGCTTTAGATGATAAGGTCTGTCATGAGTAAAGTGACATGGTTTCAATCCCACACCAGGTTATTTCCGGTCCTCTGGTTTTCTCCTACTGTCAAACGACTAATTGAAACAAAATTGTGTTAGTCCCAAAATAACCTAGTTTGTGTTCATTGTACATTAAACCCTCCTCTCTCTTGGAGAATTTATCTGCCTGTCAATTTTCATGCCATAAAATTATAATTTGAAGGAATTTAGCCTTAAAAGTACATTTAAATAAAGATCTTCTTGTAAAAAATATTCAGCCATAATTTTGGAGGGCCTAACAAGGACAGCTGTCTAGTCGCCCAGAATGAACAAAAAACTGAGGTCCTGTGTAAGCCCTACACATTTGCGTTCACATAAAAGATCCCTTGGCAGTTTGAATTCAATATAAGAGTAGGTGCCACTGTCTGGGCAAAATTTCCCTCATAGCACACTGTATTGGGTATGCTCATCTTTTTTAGCCCTGTTGGAGCAGAACAGTAGGATGTTAAACCCCATTTCACTTCAGCCATAATTTAAAGGTGTATTTAGTTTGCAATTAGAAAATAAAAAGTCGGTGAATAAATGTAATGTTATATATATCACTGATTGACGTAAATCTAAAACATGATCTGGAAGGATTTGTAGACTTGATAAATTAAGTAGATTTGGAGAAACAGGATACATTTAACTTTGACCAGTTTAAACTACAAGATATTGTTTACAATTAGTCTAAAATTAGACACCATCACTTTTACTACCTGTTAAAGGTAGATCCATTTAATGTAAGGTCAGTTAGGTCAAGTCAGGTGAATTTTTTGAATAGTAATGAGGTAAAGGAGACTAAGCTGGAATTTTAATTGTTATCAAAGTTCAAGGTCTTGCTATATGTCAATCAGAATTAAGAAGCTATTCATGATAAAGAAGCTTTTTGTAGGCTTCCAGTGAGTTTGAGTATCGAGGAAACTGTCCACAAGATGCAAAATTGCAACAACTGGAATGATAACAACAAAGTTACATTGTTTTTTCTGTCTCAGATAACATATATTGAACTAGAAATCAATAGGTGGTGGGTAACCCTCCCAGACTTCTCTCATAAAGTGAATAGTTTCGTTCTGTTTGAACTCATTATACTTAAGTGAGATTGTGAGGCTGTTCCCTTTATATAGTCGTCTGTGACCAGAGCACAAACTGAGTCTCGGGTGGACTGGCGCAGTTCTGTATCACCGGAGCAACTGCTTCCGTTATTGGTGAACAGAGAGATGGCTAAAGAATTGCCATTATTAAAATGCTTATTTCGTAGACTCTAAAACTCCCAACCCTTTTATCATGTAATTTATAGACTTTCGGGCCAGACACAATAAAAAGTAAGTAGCATAAAAAAACATACTGGTTCAAAAAGTAGTCGTAACAAACACCATATTGGTCTAAATATTATTAAAATTGATCATTCCTAATATAATATAAATTATGGCCATCTAAAGTTAATATTGCTTTCTATGGGTTTTGCCATTTTTATTGTTACATAATATCTGAAGGATTATTCATTTTGATGCATATTTATTGCCCAGGTAAGCTTATGTGACAGGATATCGCTGTTGGGGATCAAACTCCAGGCATGGATTTCATACACCTTTAAATTAGTCAGTGAGCCAAATGGGATTCCTCACGACCAAGCCAGTAGGCAGTATATTTAATCTCGGGAGACAGAACAATCACACAGTGTATTATACCCCTTATATTTGGAGCTGGCTCGCTAGTCTGGAGGTCGCGGTGTTGGTCGCGAAAGTTCATAAGGATTTTCCAGTGTGGTTTCTCCTTGTCAGTGGTGCAGGACGGAGGGACTGACAAGGACAGCTGTCTAGTCATTGCTGTAAGGATGGCATGTAAAAGATCCCTTGGCAGTTGGAATTCGAAATAAGAACAGGCTGTAATGCCGCTGTTTGGGCAAAATTTCCCACATAACACACTGTATGGTGTAAGCCCATCTTCTTTAGCCCAGTTGGAGTAGAGCAGTAGGACATTAAACCCCATTTCCTTTCATTTTATTTCCCCTTATACATGTATTTACATCCCTAATGCACTTTAAATCACCCGTCAAAATACAACTGGTGGGTGTATATTTACATCCCTACTACACTTTAAATCACCCATCAAAATACAACTGGTGGGTGTATATTTACATCCCTACTACACTTTAAATCACCCATCAAAATACAACTGGTGGGTTACATCCCTACTGCACTTTAAATCACCCATCAAAATACAAGTTAGGGTTTTTGAGTACTTGTATTGTATATAATGTATGCGTATCATCTTGCTTTACAAAAATAAAGACTAAGGTCACTTTTGTTGTACTGTACATGTAGCTAAAAATAATAAAGTACCGAGCCAAACTTCAACACCAGTACATGTCCATAATCAAAGTAATTTACAAGTAAATATAAAATGATGAAAATATGATTTGTAATATAAATTTCAAAGCTTAGCTTTTTCAAGCCATGTCCATTATCTCTATTAAAAAAAAAAAAGAAAATAAAAGGTAAAAAAAATAAAATGCTTTAAAATATAAATTTTTAAGATTTTTTCAAGCTATGTTTTTATTTTTATGCAACAAATTAGAGTAGAGTTTCATGTTATTGATATAATGATAAATCTTCTGTCATATTTAAATCTTATAATTACATTTCTAATAATAGGATAATATTTTCTTATGGAAGCAGTTAATACGATTGAAATTTGAGCACAACTCTTCAAATTTTTGAATTACAATCAATTTTAATGTATCCATACATCATTTCAACATATAAAAAACTCCATACATTAATTTCAGTGTATTGCTTATCTGTCAGTGGGCTTTCATTTTCGTCATTTTTTCCAGTCTTAATTGACTCACTAGCAGTAAAATTGATTGGCTACAGATCATACCTGTCAGAAACTGACATGCCATGAAATTACAATTTTAAAGAATTCAACCTTAAAGGAGCTAAATAGCTAATATTTTAGACCTAGAAATTGACATAAATGGGTCGCAAGGCGTATAATGATGTAATATAAATGTATATAAACCGATTTACATTCAATCGTTTTCATTTCTACTCTTAATTTCAAATCAGTTATGTTCGGTGATATATGCCATAAGACTAAATCGGATGGCAATCTCTAGTGTCTGGTTATTCCAGTCTATACCGATTACCAATAGTATTTATGGTGCATGCTCTCCAGATAAGAATATGGCGACACCGTTTGACATGACTTGTGGAGTATGTCTAGCCTCGATCTTCGTGTCCCTTGTTACAAATGGCACTGAAACGCATTATGGTACACAATTCGTGTACCAGTGGTAAGTGTTTATTTTGTCTTAAATATTGGATATCAGAAGCCCATCTTTTCCCATTAAGATCAAAACATCAATGTTGATTTAAATTGACAAATAATTCGTGTTTTCAATGTCAAATTTATAGTTTTCATGTTTAAGATTACTTAAAAAATTTTAGATATTGAGATAATGCTAAAATGTTCATATTAAAATAAAATATGTTCAAAACGGTATCTGTTCTTGCTATAATAGTTAAAATATAGATAATGAAAAATGAATATATTGAAAATTTAATTCATATTACTTAATTGTGGGCGAGGTTATGACTGTTTGATTCTTGAAGATGTAGCGTAGTTTGTTTATTATCATAGCAATGGTACTTGACAAATGGGACTAAATCTCGATTATCCATTTTATCGTTAAGTTTTTAATCCATTTAAATCTTTGCCATTTGATGGTCAAGAGTGTTGATTATAGGCTTGCCATGTGAATTCTAAATAATAATTTATGTAACGTTTGAAACCAAGAGAAAAGCCTGCAATAGGTAGATTTAGCGCTTACATATATAATGCATCTTTAATCTGCTGGCAAAATGTTGAAGCAAAAAATAAGATTATAGTGTCAGACAGATTACCTAAATATACTAAAGGGAATACATCTTTTAAAAACTGTGGTTCGAGACTAACTTATCATAGATTTGACAGTACAATTATATATTTATATAAGAGGAAGTTTTTCTACAAATGACATACATGTACTATAAACTTGGATAATGTTGAACACCTGCGAGGAATTTGTGAAATCTTTGTTAAGAATAAATTACTTACTGGACCATTTCATGAATTCGGTCAGGAGATGTATAAATTCACCTCAAAACTGTTGAGGTAATTAGTATGTATGGATTTAGAAAATTGGGTACACACACTTTTAATGTTTATTCTTGAGATTAAACAAATTCTTACTGAATAAAAATAATTTGTTAGATGAGAATAAATTATTTTTTTTGGATTGTGATACAAAAATGTGAATACCGTAATAGATGACTTTTAATTTGATGTTGAGAAGGGTTCATTTAGATATTCAGCTTGAAGAGAAGGGTTCATTAAGATATACAGCTTTAAGGGAAAAGTGCATTTAGATATTCAGCT